ACAGCCAATTAAAACTCTCCAAAATGGACGAAAAAATAAATAAATCGAGTTTGACATGGCACAAATCGAGATTAACACTGTGCTTGATAAGACAAGGGCGACAAGCTCCTAATTTAAAGGCCTATAAAAAGGGGCAATGATCTATTACAAGAAAAAGACCAAGGTACTTCATGTAAGACTCTCCTGCAGAGGATTGTGCTAAGCAATTCCCTTTAATACAGAATCAAGCTAAGTCGTTCCTTGAAAAACCAAAAATATTTCTCAATGAGAATTATTCTTTTCCTTACAATATTCCAGCAATTACTTACAATTACTTTAATAAAATTTTCTTAACTTGATCTATATTGACATGTCAGTTTTAACCATCAACATGGTGAAATGGTTCTAATGATGGTGGTGGAAGATAAATAATTAATGGTGCAATTTTTCAAAATTTAATTGATTGTTATTAGTGGAAGTAGTCGGTGGTCTAGTGGTGACAGTGGCATGATTGTGATTTAATAATGAATGTTACAATTGGTGGTGACAGTGATAACGTTGGTGTAACAATGAATGTTACAAGTGGTGAAGACTTTATAATGCTGAATGTAATAAGTGGTGGTAGCGGTTGTGATAGACGTTTGCGGTGACAATGAAAATATGTGACAAAATGTGGAAACGCGCTATGTTGCAAGTGGCGGTGGGGTAGCCAACTACAGCGAGAACGCATGTCTAAATATTTGTAACATAATATAAGACAATGTAATATAATGTGTTGCAAATGTATTTAAAAAAATATATAAAAGGGAATTATGAGAATAAAAATAGGTCTAAAAGTGTAGTAGGAATTAGTAAAGTTCCCAGGGGACAACATTCTGTCGGATGTTCTTTCTCCTAAAAGAAATTGCTTCCATGAAGTCCATACAATCTTGGTTTGTGCGTTGGCCCACCCAACGTTCCATCTGGGTTTACTTTTGAACACACTGAAATATTTTGCTGATCCAAACAAATCGATTTGAGGGGCCCATTCCTCTGAAATCGAAGTCCTAAAGCAACCATTGAGCATGTACAATTGGGACGTTAATCCATGATTAGACAACAAGGTTAATCTAATAAATTATTATTATTTGCGTGGCTTCGGGCCAATCACACTTCTGGTATACTTCCATCCGTCACATTTATATAGACTTGTTTTATTTTTTACGCGGATTAAGAAATCTCATTTAAAGTAATTGAAAAAGCATGTTTTGCCAATAAATATTTTTAATTTACCCTTATTTATATTTGTATAATTTTCAGATTAAGTGAAACAATTGATTATAATTAGGCAAATTAAATAAGGATATGTTAGTAAACAAACAAAACAAAATAAGTTCAATAAAGAAATATGATTATATAATTAGAACAAGAAAATAAGGAATATAAGCACATTTATATGGGCTAAGAGTAAATTAAAATAGAATTATATAGTTGAAAATTCGGAAGTTGTCCACGAAATTCACACATGGTTTAGTCAAAATGTCTAAAAAAGCCAAATTTGAATATTTTTGTAGTTCGATTTATTGAACTGATTAAATATGTTATAAATAAAGATAAAACTATTTGTATAAAATTTGATTGGCAAAATGATTTATTCATTCTCACATGCATGCATGTCCCCTTTGCATTAAAAAATTCGGTCATGTGGTTCCTACCATTCTATTGTGAGAGCGTATAACATTTTTAGTACAAATGTGTTTGTACATGTAGCACAATCCTATAAATAGACCGATTTCCATATTCTCCCATGCTAAATATGAGTTGTTTGGTCCATAAATGAACTAAACTTGATTTACTTTTTATGAATTATTATCGTGTCATAGACAAACTAAAATAATATTACATTATTTTGATAATGCACAATTACACCAATTCAACAAAAATACCTATCCTGTGGCATTAGTACTTCATAGCTAGCAATTTCAGAAATTTTCTATTGTGGGGTCAAAAATTTAAATGAAATTTTTTAAACAATATAACATTAATGAAAATAAGTCAATACACTACTACAATTATAGTCCACGAGTTATAATACTTTGAAAACATCGTATTATTATATCATTATAAATTTTGTCAAATAAATCGTTCTTAATATATGTCATCAAACTATCACTTAACCATTGATTTCACATTTGATTATACGGTCGATTTTTGACAATATTCATTACAGAATATACACTCTCTAAAGTAAACGGTTGCAAATATAAAATGAAGAACTTCAACAGTTATGCAGACAATCTTTATTGCAGAAAATACTCTCTCTAGACCATGATTCAAAAGCAAAAATTTCAAAGTAAATAATATATTTTACATTAAATCGTATGCATCCAGTTTCAAATAAAATTATAAAACCAACCAAATCGAATGAATTTCACTTCATCTATGAACGTTGTCAACAATTTTCCATAAATTTAACAAAAATGATTGCTATTTAAATTCTTTAACAGCAGGAAGAATTTCAAAACTTGTAATTTCTAACATTTTACCAAAGTCAATTTCAACGTCAAAATCTAATACCCTCAATCATGAATAATAACATAGAAAAGTAAAAGCAGTGAAAATCAAATGTAAAATTGTAAAATTCCATAACTGATTGAAGAATAGAGAATGGAGATTGGATATTGAAGAAGAAGGTTTATTTGGATTCAAGAATAGAGATTGAAATTTGAGATGGAGAAGGGTTTATTTGAGTTTTGTATTCTAAACGTGAAGAAGAAAAAGAGAGTTATCATGAGGTAAATGTAGAAGAGCTAGGGCAAAACTACAGATTTTTTTTTATTTAAAAATAAAAAGGAAAAAGGTCAAAAGAAACCCCACATTTCCCCACGTGGGTTCGTCCATGCACACAAAGTAAATAAATATTGTGATAACTAAGAAATTGTATAGTAATGGCTCAACTACTATTTGTCATGTTCAAACACACAAAATAAATAATATTGTGCTAACTATGAAATTGTACAAGAAGATCATGAATTTCATGTACTATGTAATAGCAATGTTCACGACTGTCGTTGTTGAGGAGCATTGGTTGATGGGTTTTACTAGATATCGGTACTTCACGAGTATCTGTCCATAGATTTTAGTAGCTATATGTACAAGTGTAGGATGTTATAATTAAAAGAGCAACTAATCGTGGCTCTTGGCACAAACAACGTCCTAGGTGCATGGGAGATTGGGCAAGTGGGAACACCAACTCCTTGTTTAACCATGAGACTTGGCACACCTTTAGGGACCAAGTCATGATGGTACGAGTTTGCTCCTCAATCAAATGAATCTTTTGACAAACTTCATTTGTTTTCGAGGTTGAATGAGGATGTTACTTATCAATATTTGGCTAATGTTAATAATAAATTGCGTTTCATGTACAAATTTTGTGAAATCTATAATAACTATATACTTATTCACATTTTTTTCTATATATTTTTAAATTAAACTTATCATACACAATTTCCGTGCATGCTTTTCTTGGTTGGTAACCATCGAAAGAATAAAATATGTTTTGACATTTTTTTTTAAAAGAAAAATAACGATAATGCATTTTTTCGAATGCATGATATGATATGTCAAATCCGCACCTCTTCTCTAACTTTAGGGCGCAATATGCCTATATCTTTAACAGAAGAGGCAAATTATGTATTTTTTTTTTTTTTTTTAAAACGAATGATGCGATTGTTTGACCATATTAGCCATCAGGGGACCACATTTACAACTTGCAATTATGCAGCTTTAGATGAATACCCCAAACGGGAAATTTCTTTCATCATCATCCTGCACTTGCAGGCACTAACTAAGCATAAATTATACTTTCAAACCCAAACAAATTGACAAATTAGTATTCAAATGGTTCATAATAATTAGATCTCATTTTTATTAATGAGAAGTGTTACATGTACAAAATTTTTGACAGATTACCAACTGACAAACAGTCATTGAATGTTAGATACAAAACAAACTTAAACGAGCCAATGCAATGCTGCCACATCATCATCAGTCATGTTTCTGTAATTTTTATCCTTACAAACAATTTTATTCTTTATTAAGGCCTTATTGAGTCGCATTCTTTTAAAAAGATACATTTTCGAACAGTGATTTAACATCATTTTTTGACCACACATATTTTATAAATCTACTATTATAAAATACATTCTTTTAAAATAATGTGGCTCAAAAACACACTAAATCATTGTATCTTCGTCACTCAAAGACACATCTCCACTACCCAGTAATCAAGTTGATCAAAACCTAAAGAATTGTAGCAAAACATTTGAAGTTGTGAAAACCTCAAAATCTACCGGCAAGAAACAGTAGACATGTGCATTAATAATGTATAGATGATGGTGTAATCTATGGCATGCATGTACTCTATACTATTCCATAAGCCGTTATGTTGCAGTAGTGCCCACTTGTTCCCTTTGGGACATCAGAAAGATAAAAAGCTAGTAAAGAAGAGAGAGAGAGAGAGAGAGAGAGAGAGAGAGAGAGAGGAAAGAATTTTAGAACATGCTTTGGATCTATCGACATTCTCGAACATGAACTTGACCACGTTTCTATTTGAGTTTTCTTTCTTAAGAGAACACACACAACATGACCACTGTTCTCCTTCCCAAGATGAAGACAATAGTTTTGCTACAAATCATAACAAATCTACTTCAGCAATTTTCTTCCCCATAAGCACACTCATTCTCAGTATAATAAAAAAGATTTTAACGATCGACGAGAAATATTTTGCATTGATTAATTTCACAAATGAGAGAATATAGATGCTTCTTGAATACAAAAGTAAGTGCAACACAAGAAAGAGGTGAGAACTTGGACCAGAAAGAAAGATGCAGTCTTTAATCTTGAAGTTTTGGAAGTACATTCTTAAAGAGAGTGGATGTAGTAAAGGCCAAGCGGTGTATTTGTGTATTGAAAATGGTGAAACTTCAGAATTTTCTTTCTTTCCATTGTATCCCAGAATGAAATAGCACTGAATTCAAGAATTCAAGAAGAGTGAGTTGCTGCAAAAATGCTTCAGGTGTTTGTACAATGAAAACAGAAACAAGGAAACCATCATCAGAACAACAAAGCCCACGAAACAAGAACTAAAGCAGAATCAAGAAAATTGCAAAATGCGAGAAACAAAAACCTAGAATTGTAAAAGAATTCCCGAGTAAGCAGAAGTCTCAAATTTGAAAGGCTAAATACCAGCACTCGTGCATGATTGATGTTCCCAACTCCCTAAGCTAGATACAAAATCATAGAATAATAGCATAAAATATTAATTTCTTCAGCTCCCCAAACTAATTAAATTCTCAGTTGAATCATCTTCTTCTTGTTCTAGTTATCCAGGTCCAGTTAGGTTTTCTTACCAAGAGTGTGCTTATTGTTATGCATCCAGACCTTCAGCACATGTCTTCTAATTCCAACTTCGTTGCAGAATTGCTGCACCAGCTCCTCATCTTCTTTTTGAATCTTCCACCCCAAACGTTCAGCCAAATTCAGCATCTTGTCTTTCTGCTCTTGTGTAAACTTGGTCCGGAACCTTTTCTTTCCTGCGCTGGCGCTGGGGTTGGAATAATAGTCCTCAAGCTCATCTCCTGATCCACTTCCTCCGCCGCCTGAGCTTGACGGCAAGGCGAGAGGTAGTCTCTGCTGCTGCGGGTGAGCGACGTGGAGGTACCCACTTGGGCTTCTGTAGCTGAAATGCCCGTGTGGATGGTTGGTAAGAAGTAGCTGTTGTTGCTGGTTCTGGTGGTGGTGGAGGGCAAAAGCGGCGCCTACTTCAGTTTCCCTGCGGTGGAAATTCCGGTGGCAATTGCAAGCAGCGCATTTGAGTGCATCCAGGCTTCCCTCCTCTCCCGCTGCAATAAACTCGCCGCATCCATCCACCGCGTGGCCGCCGATGCCCACCGCGTGATTTTTTAAACAGTCTTTGTACCTAGGCTTCCTCAACGGAGTTACCGCGGTTTCAATAGGGCTCGGCATTTTAGCTGGCCGAGTCGAGTTAGAGTCAAAACTCGGTACATCTCCCACTTGGTCCTCCTCAAACTCCATCCTTTTTAGCTGAATTCAACTCCTTAATTATCATCTATTGCCTATTTATAATGGTAATACACATATTACGTCGTACTTAACCCTACCGGCTACTTGCAATTGCAGGTTTTCTTCAAATTCTTTTTTGAAGATTAAATTTTACATTTTTAGGTTAAAAAATTGAAGAGATAAGATAATGAAAACTAGAAGAAGAAGAAGAAGAAGAATGGCATGTGTGGACAAAATTTTTCCTGAAAATGTACAAGATTTTTTTTATTTTTTTGTTACTGTTCGAGCAGTGATAAGTTAAACGATTCTTGCCATTGATTTGAAGTATGACTTACAATCTGTTTTTTTCATTTCTTTTAATATTAAAATAAATTGGGGCCTTTTGATATTCTAGGAAAAGTGTCCATATAAGTATGACATAATTTAAAGTGTTTGACAAAAAATATATATACATGATTTTTTTTAAAAAAAAAAATTTGTGCATAGTGGAAAAAAAAATTAATAATAAGCCAGGTAAAGAATTTTTTTTCAAGTCAAAATTAATAATTAATTTAAAAAACACATTTAGTGGGATCAACTAGAGCTGCACAAAAAAATCGCAAAACCGCAAATCGAATCGAAACAGTTGAGTTGAAACTGTTGATTCGGGTCCACGTGGACCCGTAGTTTTTTCTCAAATCGAACCGAACCTTTTCAAAATAGTTTGGTTTAGGTTTTAATTTTCAAAAATCGTACAAAACCAAACCAAACCATTTTTAATTTTTTAATTAAAACATTGATTTTATTAACTTAAAAATTTTATAACTTTCACTTTTTAGAAAAAAATATCAATTTAACAATATAAATTACAATCAACCTATTGAAATAATCATGAAAAGTAAATTAGGTTCATTATTATTGCCCTAAGGTTTAACAAATTCACAACACATATTCTCATCCGATATCTAAACTTAACTAAAATTATTCCAAAATCATATTAAATGAAATGAAAGAAAAGCATACATTTTCAACAATTCAAATTATAATTTAACAAAACTACGTCAGCAAATCACGCCAAAAGTTTCAGAAACCCTAACATAAACCCTTTCTCTTTTCTCTTTCAGTAAGTCTTTGATTCTCATTCAAGTCATTTTTCCATTGCTCTTCTTTTATTTGTTGTTTTTGAATTTATTATACACTTGTGAGTTGTGGTTTGGATAGAAAAATGACTTTTTGTGTGCCTATATGATTAATGAACTTGTTTGTGATTTGGAATGAACGAAGGAAGGAAAGTATTGATTGTATGAAAATGTTAAAGTTTACTAAATAGTACTACTACCTTCTACTTTCATAAAATAATTAGAGAATGAAATTCGACAATTCCCAATAAGCTAAAACTCTATCAATCTTTATACATCTAAACGTATCCCATTCAATTTATATTTATTATCCCATTAGCAAGACGAAATGAATTTTAACCAAACTATAATAACATTATATAACTCTACATTCACCAACCGCTATATGACAATATGAATTTCAAACAAGAGAAGGTAAATAAAAATGAAGAAAAATATATTTGTTATAATAACATCTTTTAGCAACTAGTTTGGAAAATAATCTATTCATGTTAACATCATTAGATCTTGTTTAAACCTATATGTTAATTTATGTTAAATATATTACTATAATGTCGATAGGTAAACTGCGGATTAAAATTGAATCAAATCGCAAATTACGATTTGGTTTGGTTTGGTTTGAAAAATAAAATGGTTTGATTTGATTTAGAAAAATTTCAAACTACATAAAATGGTTTGAGTTTAAAATATAGCACAAACCGTCCAAATAGAATCGCGTTCTCCCCTAGGATCAACAACTTTCAAACAATAAATTTATCAACTTTTATCAAAATTTATTTTAAATCTAATTTTAGTTTACACTAAATCTGGACAATGTATACAATTCTATGTTTATTTCAGCATAAAGTTTTTGGAAAATACTTATCGTAAAAATATTAAGTCACTATTTGGTAGAGATGAAGTCAAATTAACCATATATTTTATGAGAGGTAGACAAAATGATCAGATCAAACAAGAATCGAACTAAATCGAGCTATATGATTCGATTCTACAAAATAATAATAATAATAATAATAATAATAATAATAATAATAATAATAATAATAATAATAATAATAATAATAATATTATTATTATTATTATTATTATTATTATTATTATTATTATTATTATTTTATGTGTATAGATATATATATAACAAATCAGTGAATCACAAAAAATAAAAAAAATCTAACTTTGTTGGTGACTTATTCGTCTACATTAGTGAATCATTGTTAGTAGACAATATTTTGTATGAGAACGGAATTTGATGTTTGTGTATTCAAATTATGAGTATGTTTTGTTTGAAATTGAATGTTTGATGTTTATTTTTTGATTTCTGCATATATTATTTTTGGATATAGTGACAGATTTTAATTTGCATTGATCATTTGAAATTTTAAGTAATGAAATTAGAATAGAACAAAACTAAATTAAATCAGAATTGAATGGTTTGGTTCTGATTTGGTTTCAGATTTCCAAAATAAAAAAAAAAATCATTGATTTCATTAGAAAAAAGAATTATTAATTCATGGCTTCATTCGATTCTCTTGAAATTATAGCCAAATGGAATCATATTCACCCTTATATTTTATTAAATTCACTACTTTTCAATTTCATATTTCATAATATATATAATCCAAATAAAAAATCTGGTTTGCCTTAGTTTGGTGTTGATAAAAAATTAAATTTTTAATAAATTTTTATAAAAGTTGAGAAAGTGTGGCTAAAAAATAATGATTAACAATAAATGTGTGTTTAAGCTTAATTGTTTAACCCAATTTTTTAACTGAATCAACGGGATATATTATAATTATTTTAGTCATTTGCATAATTTTTAAATTGAACTATTTTATTAAAATGAAATTACTGTTTTTAGTGTATTGTGACTGCATGGTGAGATTGGCAGAATCCCACGGCAAGGGATTGTGGGGGTAACAGTGCATTGTACTGTATATATCTGCTGTGCAGCTTGCAGAGCAGACGAGTGAGGACACTCGCCACGCGCCAAAAGGTGGGCCGTTCAGCATGAATTTCCATCCCTGACATTTAAAGGTATCCCCGGGCGGCGCGTTGAATGAACGCGCAGCCGTATACGTTAGGGGTTGGGTATATTTAGCTACTAGGAAACAACCCGTTTGTTTCCCTTTAATTTGTTTTACATTGCCCTTGTTTGAGCCCATTCTTTTGAGAAGAATGAATTTTTAAATAGTGTATTGATGAAAAATGTGTGGTTAAAAAATAATTTTTTTTGATTTTACGTGTAATATTATTTTATTGAAAAATGTGTAGTTAAAATAATATCAAAACACTGTTTAAAAATGTATTATTTTCAGAGAATGGGGCTCAAACAGGATCATTATTTCTTATCAGCTGCTCATGATGAAAAGTTTTATCTTATCCACTTCAAGAGAATCATACTTACGGTTCTCACATTTGAAAAAACTATAAATAAGGCTCATCTGCCATATCAACAAGTAAGCAGTCTTATCTTGCTCATCGTGGACAAGAGAACAATTTCATATTTCTTATACTCATTTTCAACCACATATTCATGTAATAAAATATTTTGTAAGCAAATTTATTATTATTTTTATTTTTTAACCACACTTTCTCTAAAAAAGACTATTCAAAATGTTTTTTTTTTTTCGAATATAAAGCCACCTAACAAGGGCTAAATTGACTCTGCATTTTTAGTGTACATTAACTTTGACATTTTGTAATGTTTAGAAAATTATATTTAAATAAGTATTGTTCAAATCAATGACCATGGTTGCGGCCATATCAAACAATGTTTAATTTATATCCCTTTGGCCTCCATTCTCTTTCATTTTTTTGTTTCTTATTTATAATCACACAATCTTTTATAAAATATTATTAAACGTAAATCGAAAATTTTTCATTTTTTTTCAACCACATATTCTTGAAAAAACACTATTCAAAACATTAAAATTTGAAAAAAATGGGGACCAAACGAGGGCTTAATGTCAACCACAATATACATATAATAAAACTCATTAGGAAATTCTTATGTTGAAATCATGTAAACGTACGTTCTTGCTGATAAATAATAATAATAGTAAAAAGAATATCGTTTCCACGGTGTCTTAGATTATAGTTTAAATTGAATCCATTCGAATTTAAAAACGAATAAACACACAATTGATATTTAAACTTGAGTAACTATGATTGCACTAATTTATATTATGGCCATTTAATTAAATATGAAAGGAAGTTTGAAGAAACTATATTAAATAAGAAAAGAGTGTTGAAATTGTTAGTATTCGTTATAATTCTCAAATTCTACCTTTCAATTCAATTTATGCTTAGATTAACAACCAATAATTTTATATTATTTAATAATTTCTTTCGATTAGAATTAAACGTTTTGTTTACATGTGGTTCTATCCTATCTCAAATTCAAACATGTAAAAATGCATTAAATAGCAAGATTATTCGCAATGATCGTACGACCTTATGTTGAGTATCCATTATGGGTTACATCTATCCGATCGTTTCGAAAATAAAATAAGCCATACACCCATTTAAAAGTTGACTATTCATTCAAAAGTTGATTAAATCATTAACACCAATCAATCAAATAGAAATTAAAAAGAAGAAATCTTTGACTGCACCAAAACCCCAAAGTTTAGGGGTAGCAGGTGCAATTTTTCCTGCTAATTTCTCTGGTAAAATTTAAATAGTTTAATGTTTTGAATATTTAACTCTACATTTAGACCATAATCTACACTTATGTTGAAGGACGAAAATATTTTCATCATTCTTTATAACCCCCTTGAGTTTCCTACTATAAAAAATTTCATTTCTAAATTTTGTATTCTCTTTCTCCTTAAATAAAGAGAGTTTACAATAGTAATTAGCATGTTGTTTTTCTAAATTCGAAGTGTTGCTATCCCATGAAATGATTATTATGGCCCCGTTCGGTACCTATTTTTTTTAAAATGCATTTTTCTATCTTTTTTTTTTCAATCACACATTCTTTATTAAAATAATATTACACGTAAATAAAAAATATTTTTTTTTATTTTTCAACTATACATTTCTCATCAATTTACTATTTAAAAATGCATTTTTACATAAAAATATCTCTCAAACACCCTCTATATCTTAGGAGACTGTCATTCAACCGTTAGCACCGTTGTTGGGCAACGT